CTTCAGTCCTGCCCAGAGACCTGCCCGGCCCCACCCCCAACTGTCACAAGGAGGCAAACTGGTAAAGCCACCACTGAAATGTCCCCGACCTTCAGACTGCCTACTAGACCACTCCAGTCTCTAAAAGGTGCATCGAATGCAACACGTCCAAACCCAGGCCTGCATCCCCCCAGAATCCCGCTCCAGCCCCGCATGCGTGTGCTTGCACACACGGGGGCTCGCACACCAGATACCAGTGCCCTCTGCACTCACACCTCCCTCCTGACACCGGTCCAAGCCCCCACCAAGCACTTCCCAATGGGTCAAGCCCCTAAATGGACAAAGCAAAACTGCCTACCTTGGAGACGAGAGAACACCACCTGTATGGTGTTGGGATAGAGAAGAGATTTCTTCAGATGAAAATGGGCCAACAATAATGGAAAAGATGTAAAACTTCTGGGCAACAGGAGACATCGTAAACATAATAAAAAGACAGGCTAGGAGAAGATCCTTAGCAATGCATAGAGCTGACAGCAGATTAACCAGAATATACAAAGAATTCCTACAGAACACCTAGAAAACACAAACAACACAGTAGGACAATGGGCAAAGGACATCTGTCACCAGACATTCAGGGAAAAGGGAGCCCAGACCAACCCACGAGCACATGGATTGATGCAAGGAGACCGCATGCCCTTCAGGACCCTGGAACTGAGCAAGTTAAAACAGCTGACACTGCATGACCAAGAGGACCAAGAGGATGTGTGCGACGGTCATCACAGCCAAACGCTGGAAACAGCCCAAAGGCCTGTCAACAGTCGAATGGATTAAAAACCCTGGCATACTCGTGCATGTGGTCTACGGGCACACGCACACGCTTATTAATAGCATGAATAGTAGAAAACGTGCATCAGAATAACAAACACCAAATCCCTGCAGAGAGGGAAGGCGAGGAGGGGGCAGGGACGGGTGCACACGGGTGGCTTCGAATCTGCCTTCCATACCTTCTTTTTTTTTTTTTTCCTTTTTGTCTTTTTTACTGACCGGTAACGGGATCGCAACCC